CGGCCCGGCCCGGCCGGGGGGGCGGCTCGTCGTGGCTGCGCGAGAGGCCCACCTCGCCCGTGACTGGGAACGGGAGCGGGCTGCGGCCCGGACCCCCGAGTGACCGATGCCCGAAGGTCACCCTGGCTCGGGCAGCGCCGAGGTGGCCGGTCGCAGACGTCGCAGAGCTTGGCCGGCCGTCCCGGGAGGGAGAGCCGAGCGCCTCAGCAAATCTCCCGTGCTAAAACCGGGGGCGACCGTCGGGAACGGCTTTGTGGCGTTTTGCTCACACGCCGCCGCGTGGGTTTGCTGACGGGTAGGTCGCGGGTCGCCGGTGACGTGACCGTGGCTGCCGGAGGTTTCCGCGCTGGGCCGCCGTCTCCTGCCAAACGCCGTGGCTTCTCGTCTTGCTGCCAATGCTAGATCGCGTTAGTTTAAGCTAAATCGACGCGAAATAGGTCGTAACTTTGTTTTTTCCCTTAAAAGAACGATTCTGCGGTATTGTTAACTTACGGAAATAGCGAGTCGGACTTTCCAAAACCATACCGTAGTCTTGCATAGTACTCCCTACTGCCTTCTCATGCTTCAGCTGTAGGGTGTACTAGGACTAAGAGTCAGGCTTTTCTTTATGAGACACTCGTAAACTTGCTGCCTGTTGAAAGTTCAGATCCGCAATAATTTGCAGACTTCCAGGAGGTGACATTTTTAGGCAGAAGCAGCACCGGTAATAAAAATGTAATAAAATGTAGTAAAAATGTGATAAAAATGACAGTCTTAAAAGGTAGCGTCTATTTCAGTAGTACAGACTCGGATGTTATGGCACTGACTACGTGCAATACTAACTTGGGGACTTTTTTATTTTAGACACTGCTGTAAGTCGAAGGCGTCATGGATAAATATGAAATCATTAAAAAAATTGGGGAAGGATCTTTTGGCAAAATATTCTTGGCAAAAGGAAAACTAGATAATGAGCAGTGTGTTATCAAAGAGATCGACTTAACTAAGGTAAAACAACAAAACCTGGATGATAACAGTAGTTATTTACCTGATTGTGCTAATTGCGTTTAGCTAGGGTGTGAACATGGGTTATATCTCCTTTGTAGTTCCATCTCCATTATATAAACTTTCCAAAGACAGTACACTTTGCTAGTTCAGAGATTTTACGGGCATAGACGAAATAGGTATTTTGATACTAATGGTGTTTACTTTTTACTGCTTTTTTGTTCTTTTCAAAACCTCTCTCTGCCTACAATACGTGACACTACCTAATTCAAATTTTATAACAGATGATTCATCTACAATGAAACTATTGCCACTGAAACAACAAATCACAATTTTGTGATACATTTCTCTCATCTTTTTCATTTCCTTTTTTTCCCCCACATCCGTATTTTCAGGCGTGAGTAATTCACAACAGAGTCTTTCCAATTCTCATTTATGTTTATGGCAGTTTGGTTTATCTTATCTACTTTTAAATTTCCATTCTGTAGCTGTCAGCATCTAGGCTGCTCGGCTAGACACCCTTTCTAGGAGAACAAGAGAAATACTACGCGTGTTTTTAGGAAGCTGTTGATTGTGTGTGTTTTAGACTTCTTTAGAAGTTTAGAAGCTTAGAATGAACTGAATCGGGCCATAAAAGTGCTCTCTTTCTTTCTGTTGGCTGCAGAGGCAGGTTAGGGTCACGAGCTCAGCTATCAGAGGAACACCACTCCTGTATCTAGTTCCAGAAAGACAGGCAATTAAACGCTCTGTGATTTCAGTAGAGGGGTTTCAACAGTCAATTTCAGTGAGTGCCTACATGCTTTTTACAGGTCTTTTGCTATTCTGGGCCACACTAGTGAATTTCTAATATATTAGAGAATTATAATAGAAGAATGAGTTTTTATACATCAGTTCTAGAGAGCGCTGTGTAACTTCCAGATTCAAACCCAGAAAAATTGATACACTAGTAATGACAGCTAAATAAAACATAGTTTCTCTCTATAGTCATGACCAATAAAACCCATGCATTTCTAATCTTAGATTTTTATGTATGCAAAATAGAAAAATGGAAGTTAGTAAAATATTGTTGTGGATCCCACGTGTTCAAAAATCAGGAGCTGGATACAGAAAATTATGACTTTGAAGTCTTAAGGTTTTTTTTATGTGGTAGAGTATGTTTCATTCACTTTCTGGTTTTTGAATCTTTGAGGGTTTCATTTCAAAATTATTTCTTAAGAATGAGGGTAAGAAACTTTCTATAAATACAAGCGGACATTTTGATGGATGGCTACTCAGAGACGTGAATTTTTAAGAAGTAACGTTGATGAAAGTTCGATCACAATGAACCAAATAGAAGTTTTCCATTTAATGTAACAGGGCAAAGAGTTTGCCCGAAATGTTGCAAGAACTCGTAACACCAGTAAAACGAAGGACTTTTTTTCTTTTTGCTTTGTTCTTTCGAGATCACCCATATTAAGAGTACAGAATCATCTAGACCTTATTCTTCAGACGCTTAAGGGAAGTTTAACTTTAGAGTTTAACTCTATTCATCAGCTAGCTTAGCAATAGCATTTGTGTAAAAAGTTAAAAGGTATACATTTGCCTGTTCGTTTGACCGGTAATGTTCCAGTATGTTTCCAGGCATACACTGCAAATTGATATTTTACATTGTATGTGCATCATATTTTATAATATTTCTGCATCACCTTGGTACACACTCTTTTTGTATTTGCGGGAATGGTTTGATAATGATGTAACTATTTTCAAAAAGAGTTAAATATATTATTGCTAGCATATAGTTTCTTAATTCATCTTAGATGCCTGTGAAAGAAAAAGAAGCCTCTCAGAAAGAAGTAATTCTTCTGGCCAAGATGAAGCATGCAAATATTGTAACCTTCTATGCTTCTGTGCAAGGTTTACTTTTAACATTTTTGTTTTATTTGTGATTATAGGAGTGGAAGGCAGCAAAACCTACCTTGTTAATATTGCCCAACCTTAAGCCCGTCCCCAGCCCCTTACTTACCAGTGGGGACAGGTCCCAGCTCCTAAAAATGAACGTGAGGTATCCAATTCAGTCATCACTTGGCCTTTTCATGTGTGTGGGTGGGACCTAAGGTATTGTGGCATGAATGCTAGATCCTGGGATGTCTGCATGGCTTAAGTTGAACTTTAGTCTTGATCTTCAGTAGGAGTCCAGGGTTTAATGAGACTTTTCTAGGAGTTTCAATAGAAGAAGAGAGCATTTGAGTACAGCAAGAAAATAGGTCCTGTTGGCCTTTTGTCTTGAGCCTTGTTTTGAGGTATCACTCAAGGATACGGAATTCTTCAGGACCGAAAGAGGTGGAAGGAAATCCGTTCTCCATAAAAGCTAATTCCCTATATTTATTTTTCCTGCTGACATCTGTCATAAGCAACGCCTTATGTAATGAATGCTGTTGTTACAGCTTGTGCTCAGATTGTTTTCTGTGATCAGGATGTTTAAATATTTTAAGGGACACATAAATCTGGTAGTCTTCTGGACCCCAGAGAGGTAAGAATAGGGTGAGTTTCCATATTAAGTAGCCCCTGCTGTTTATTTGTACTGTTTGGACACTGTCTGCTTTAACCTTTTCCCTAAGCCTAACTGTATTCTTAGTTGTTATTGGGGAACAATCCCAACTATGAAGCATTCTGCTAAGCTTTGCCTGTAAGAACATCTGTTTTTCTATCAGTGTGGTCTCTTGAGGGTTTTTAATATTTTAATATTTGTAATATTTTGGTGAATCTCCATTAAAATATATTTTCATGTCAGTTTTGCATCAGGTTTCACTGGAATTGTCCATTTTTTCTCAGTTACTCTTTGAAATGTAGGAGTAGGTAGAGCATTAACTACGCCCTTTTGGAAGAAGGGCCATATAAAATAAAAAGAATTTATTGCTGTATTAATGAGTAATAAAGGAAAACTTATACTTTTCCTTTTAGAAAAGAACAAGCTCTATATTGTGATGGAATACTGTGATGGTGGAGATTTAATGAAGCGGATAAATATGCAGCATGGAGTGCTGTTTGACGAGGACCAGGTGAAAGAAGTTATCTTTAGAGGAGAGGACATATTATGTAAAACACATGGTTTGAATTATCCAGTACTAGCTACTGTTTCTTTTCTGGCCTGTTAAAGTAATTGAATGTTTTAAAGAAACTTCAGTAATTTTAATGGCAGTTTAGAGTTTGCTTTTTACATTGCTTTAAGATCTTAAATTAATTCATTAGCAGTATTTTGATGCCATTTTTATCCCCCCTCCCTCCCATTGCTCCTTCCATTGTGGATGCACTTTTTCTTTGTATTAGTAGTATACCTACTAAGCCATAAAGACTTTCTTTTAAACGGTGTTTTAGAATTATGGGAGGATATATTATATATGAATTCCTCATTTGTTTATGCTGTTTGCATCATGGCGTATCCTGCTTTATGCTGGACACAATGGTAAATCTCTCATTCATTTAATTTGGGTGAAGACTTCTCTGATGCTATTTAAATTGTTAAGCCAGCACAGAGAAACAAGCCCAGACATCTGACTGCTTTTGGACCATGTTCATATATATTTTATTTTGTAAATAGGTGAGTATGGTAGGTATTGCAATTCACAGAAACAGAATTTCCCACTGTTCTTTACTTATTCCTTTATTTTTTTACTAACTCTTAGCTTTCTGAAGGAAATTTTCTCTTATGTGTTGGACTTAGCGTACTGAACTCTGAGGTTATTTCTGAGGTTATTTAATCATGCATAGTCTTCTACTTTTGCAGGTAATTGCAATGAAAATTTGCCTAGAAACTACATAGATAGTATCCATCCTGTCAGTGGAATTATATTCTAAAGCATAAAAGTGGAGGAAAAAAAAAAAGAAGTTTTGTCACTTTTCTTTTTGCTTTAGTAGTAAAAGAAGTACTCCTTAGTGTAGAAGTCAGTTGGAAGTGAATTACTGTTCAGTAATAATCAATTTTAAGATCCTATTGGGAGTCATAGTAGAGGTAGAGAGAACCTGAGAGAAAATAAAAAGAGGACAAAACCACAGATCATGAAAACACAAAAGAGAGAACCAGCATACACAACCCCCTTGACAATGAGGCAGAATAATACATATCCAAAGAGAGGCAAAGGAATTACAGACAGAAGAATGGATTATAGAAACTAAAGATACATCTATGAATCAAGAAAGGAAAGCAAGTTGCCCAATTTAACATAACATTGTTAAAGTATCTTTACATTTTCAAATGTATGTCTAAGAAAGTCTCATTTGTGGCATCAGCCCTAATCAGGAAATCATCTGCTTAATGTGAAGCATTACTAAATGAAAGATTATTACTTGAATCAGTCTTTCCTGACCATCAAGTTTCCTAAACAGAGAAGCATATAAGCACATTGTACTTTTGTTTCTGAGCTAAGTCCAAAGGCCCTTATTCAAGAAAACACATGTATATTTAAAGTTAAATATATGTTTAAGAGCTGTACTGGGTGAAGGATAATGGACAAATCTGTGTGCTTACTTATTATGCAAGTTCCTTCATAGCTCCCTTCTTTCACCACATTTCAGTCCTTCATCCTTTTTTTCTGTTTTTTTTTTCTGGACCACTTTCAGTAAGACTGCAAATATGATAACTGGGTGGTATGACTTCCACCACTGAGGATTAAGAAGACACTTCTCAATTCTGTGTTACTTGTTATTCGAACTCACTCATTTCTAAATAAAGTTCTAGTATTCTTACTGTCCTTTGATGTGATTCTTCAGTCCTTGTTCAAGTACTCATCCTGTCACAGTCAGTGAACACTTGATGGGGATAAGGAAAGTGGAGCAGGTATCTATTTCCATTTCGTTTTGTGATAGCACTAAAAAAAGAAAGGAAAGATCTATGGCATTAATTTTAAAAGTATTATTTCTTACTATTTTGTATTGTATATGCTCTACATATTTTAGATTTTGCTGTTTTTATTTTATGTATTTCAGCAAGATGCCCCATTGGACATTAGAGTCACACAAATTTATAAATATCTGTTCCCTTTATCTTTCACTGCAGATTCTGAGTTGGTTTGTGCAGATCTCCTTGGGCTTGAAGCATATTCACGACAAGAAGATTTTACACAGAGATTTAAAAGCACAGGTAGTAAAACTGGTACTGGAGAGGGGGTGATTTTTGTCTCGTAAAAAATATGCTTAGGAAGCTCTGCTGTGTTTCATTTTTGCATACCAGTTTTGTTTTTATTTGCAGAACATTTTTCTTAGCAATAATGGAAGGGTAGCAAAGCTTGGGGACTTTGGTATAGCAAGACAGTTGAACAGGTAAGCGGCTTTTTAATTAGTCTGTGACCTACACCAAATAGGACTGTTTCTGAATGTTCAGAATGCAACCTGAATGTGCAAATTGTTTGTGGAGTGTGATTGTTCAAGAGGTCTGGGATACAAAGGGTCTGATAGTACATTTTTTTGTTATCCTAAAAGATTCCATCCTGCGTGAAACCACAGATGTGTCTAGCCTAGTAATTGGGCTTCTGTTCTGTATAGGACACATCTTCTGTATATAGAAGCTGCAATCTTTCCCTATTCCCTGTGGAACTGACATAAAGAGATTCTGGAGGCACAGCTCCTGCAGCTGTTGATAATCACTTCCGGTGCCTCGCAAAAAAGAAAGTGAAGAGCGTTAAAAACTTAGGAAAGAGTATAAGAAAAGAGTTTGTACAGATATTCTTCGTATGTCCTCCCAGATTGTGCCTATATTACATTTTAAAAAAGGGCCAGAACCTGCTCTCTGGGCCTGAGACTAAATGGCATGGCATGGCTTGCATCGGTATGGCTAAAGTCTGTTCTCCCAAAGAGGGTGGCCTTATCTTGACTGACTTTGGGGACAAGGTTAGCCTGTCCTGCATAGTGGCCAGGTGTTCTCTAGGAGAGTGCTTTTTGGTGTGGCCAAAACATGCCAGAGGGCATGCTAACGACAGGACAATGCTTGAATCTGATCTTTTTTTGAGCCGCTTGATTATATTTGACCTTGGCAGGATACTGTGGCAGAGAAGATCCACAATTTAATTAGGTATTGTGTGGAAAGGTGATTTACTCTGTCGATCATTTTGCAGATTGTCCCTCTGGTATCAGTCCTTTTCAGCTGCTTTGTACTCCCCACCTGCTGCTGCAACTCACTTGTTAAAACCTTTCCTATCCCCGAATTAAGTCAGTGTAAGTTTAACCACATTTCCGTCTGAATGACAACAGTAAAGAGAACAGATAACTTTAACCAATATAGACAATTGCTCACTCTCTTCAGACGTACTTAACTGTGTACATGTATTAGGTACCTTTATGCATTCTTCACATGGACATACAGCCCACGTAATTTCTGCCAAGGCCCCATCAGATTGGCTTTGGATTTAGGCCTGCATAACCTTGCAAGTTCAGTGGTGCATCAGAGCTAGGAAGTCTTGCTGAGAGTTGGAGTGCCTCAACTCTCCACGTGTAAACTGCTTATGCAGAAAGTGCCTACCTTCAGAGGTGTTCTGGGGATAATTGCTTTAAGGGTTGCTCCTACACAACAGAATGGTCCATAGCAGATAGGAAGTAAACCTCAGAATTTGAATGTCCAAGTACAGACATTTTAAAGAGTATTTAATAGGCTTGTACAACAAAATAATTGCAGCTTGATAGTACTTCTCCTCATATAACAAGTGAATTAAGTTTCTCGGGCTCTCTTTTCCTCCTCCCCTAGGGTATACAAAGGCATTTTCATCTCTCTTTTTCCACTTCAAAATGCAATAGTGTCCAATACTTTTACTTGCAGTTACGTGTCTCTGGCACCTCTGGCACTCAGGCTTCATATACTTCATATATATAAGAGTGTAACTTACAACTTTTATTGACATCTAGTGTAGAGTGAGAGGAATCCCACTCTGTGAGTACCTGTTTCTCTCCACTGACTTCCCAATAACTCTTGATGACATCCACAGTGTCGATACCTAAAAGCAAGTGCAATGAATGCAGCTGGTGCTATTTGGCTACACCTTCACAAGTCAGCAGCAAAGACAGAACTAGAATTCACTTACTCCTGCTTTAGCTTCTAGACAGCGCTGCCCCCTTCCACTGCTTCTGTCTGACTGCCACCTACGATATTCTTACTTCACTGAGTATGTTGGAGACTTCTAGTGTTTTGCTGTGTGTTTTGACAGCTTTCAGAATTCTGTGTTAACGATAAACATTCCTCAAAAATGTTGATTACAATGCTGGTGAAAACTGGGGAAAAGAGAATTCTTGTGCTTTCTGTTGAAGTGCAAATGCTCTCCACTATTAAAATAGTTGGTCATTGTTACACAGGACTGGGAAATACTTTTGTTTTTCTTGGGGTGTTCCATTATTCAACTATTGGAGAACAGAAATAATGTCCCCCATGGGCTTTTCAACTGGGGCAGAGAAGCCTCTAGTTCAATTGCTTGTAAACTTTTTCATTGTGTAAGCCTTTTTCTTCATTGTGTTTCATTAGCACTACGGAGTTTGCCCATACCTGTGTAGGGACTCCCTATTATCTGTCACCTGAGATCTGTGAAAATCGACCATATAACAGTAAAACGTAAGTGTCTGTCTTTCCTTCATATGCTTGTGCATGAGGGCATGCAGGCATGTGAGAACTTACTTTAGCAATATCATGGTTTAAATCAGTATTTCTGCAGGGCACCAGGAATTTCATATGTGTCACCTTTTGTGAAGTTTTTTATTATTATGTACAATAACTAGGTGCATCGGTCATACTGTACAACACTGTCAGTTGTATTTTGACTCACAGTGTCCAGAGTGTAGCAATCATGAATTTGTTGTGATTCATCTACATGCTTAACATAATTATATTTTTTGTTTTTATAAAATTACTTGTACTTTAAACTTAAAGTTTAATCTCATTCTAATACTCCTTGTTAGTAGTGGCATGAAATGTAAAATAGATGATTTTTTTTCCTTTGCTTTATCTGGTTCTCCATCAAATACTAAATTTCTTTCTGTGTTTCCAACGTGTAATAACAAATGCAAGTATGGATCTTTTCAGTTCCAAGTTTATGAATTTTTGATGCACTCATTTGTGATTTCTAAAAATACACTAAAATGAAAGCTGCTAGATGGGCAATTCTGGAACTTTGCAGTAGCCACCTGCAAGAAAGACAAATAGGTCTAAGAATTGTAAAGGCTCACTCAGGCTTAACACAAAATACCAAAATAACAAGATGAGAAGCACTGAAAAGTCAGGAGCTGAGTGAGCTGGACACACTTCTCTGTGTGTGGAATGTGATCAACACCAAATATCCTGGAGCCCAGATCAGCATCTCAGCCCTAAGGTGCTATTCACACAGGTTTACTCCCTTATTGTCTCCTTAACTGTCAAGTCAGCCAGAGATCCCTTTGCCCTTCATCCTACTAGGAATGTTAAGCAGGCGTTCTTTATGTCATGTGCCTTTTCCAGTGATAATGACAGTACCTAGTTAGGTACCATAGAATCATTGGTATCACAACAAAGAAGAAATTTCTAGTTGTTCTTTTCAGTGCGTCTTAAGAAAAATTAAAAGTTACAGCAATATTAATCTGTGATGCAATAATGTTAATAAATTTGAGAGCTGAGAAGAGGTATTGATTACATGTATGAAAATATTATAGTCTTTTCCCTAAAGCTGTAATCACTTTTTATTCACAGAGATATTTGGTCTCTTGGCTGTGTACTTTATGAGCTATGTGCACTAAAGCATCCTGTAAGTACTGTAGAATCAGATCATTATCATATTATTAAAAAAGATAGTGGACAGCCTGGAAAAACTGTAGTAATAATGGTATTCAGTCAGCTGGTAGAATTATTTTCAGCTGATTTATTGATATTAAAGAATGACTGCTAGTGTTTAATTTTTCATATTGTGTCTGCTTTGTGCATACTAAAATACAATGTATTATGTTGAACTTCTACAACTTACATATATTTTTGTGTGTGTGTGTGTATACACGCATTGAACATAACATTTACTCTTTAATAAGTACTAAACTTTTTTAAAAAGGCAGATGAACAATGGAAAGAGTTAAAGCCAAACATTTTCCTAAAACATTTTCCTAAAGGTTTAATTTTATTTGGAAGCACATTCATGTTGGAAAATAACTGAGATAGCATCTTCAGGAAGCTGTATTGTTGTCGTCAGCCTGTGAGTATTATGTGAAGAAGGGAACCCAGCAGACTAATCCCGACAACAGGAAAAGGATCAGATTCCTGGGCCCAGCAGAAGTTGACCTTTTGCTGAGCTTGGATGCGGAAGAAGGCGGAGCAGCACTGATAGGGAGAGCAATTGTGCTGAGCTGAGAGCAAGGGGATACTGCTGAGGAAAATTCCAGATTTCACAAAGTGATAAAACATTAATATTACTTCTTATGAATATTAGCTCTTTTATTCTGTATTGCTGCCCTTTTTTTTTAATTTGAAGGCAGGGACTAGATGCTGATATAGACAGGAAATGCGAATGAAGCTAAGGCAAATTTTGGTTACAACACCTTCAAAATACTCAAGTAAATAAAATGGCAATTTTAGAAAGAAATTGCTTTCAGAATTAGTTTTGCCTGTCTAAGGCCCTTAAAGCTGTATTGATGCTGACCTGTTAAGAGATTTGCTGAACTGAGAGGGCTGAGTTACCTGAGTGGCATCAGTTGTTAAAAAAAGCAGATTGTACCTTAGTTTCTGAGAGGACACAGAATGCAGAGGCTAAGTTGTATTGAGTGATGTTTTGAAGTTGAACACCATGAAGATACTGTGTATGCAGGTTTCTGCTGAACAGCTTTTGGCAAAATAAATCATGTTTCATTCTGGAAAAATTGCTACCATATGACAGCAGAGTGTGAATTAAACTCTTCCAGGTACAAAAGCTTTCAGACCTGCTGAGTCATGCACCTGAAACATGGAGAACATAACCAGAAAATATGGTCAGGGATTTGGTTATATTAATTTTCCATAACAAACTATGGATAGCAAGAAAGGATTTGTGAAGAGATTGCATAGCACAGGGCTTCTGTCAGCCAGTACCTTTTTTCAAGTTGGAGTGTCTAGTCCATCATTTCCAACCAGCGGTACTTACTGTCCTCTTTTTACTGTTTTCATTGGTTAAGTTTGAAGGCAATAGTTTGCACCAGCTGGTGCTGAAGATCTGCAGAGGACATTTTCACCCTGTGTCTCCCAACTATTCGTATGATCTGAGGATATTAATTTCCCAGTTGTTTAATATATCTCCAAAAGATCGACCATCTGTCAACTCTATTCTAAGGAAGCCCTTCTTGCAGAACCTTGTTCTCAGGTATTTGCCCCCTGAGGTGAGTGCCTTTTACTGCTGCTTGCTGAGAGAAAAAATGTGTATCAAAGTAGTACAAACAGTTCTGTCGGATACCTTTTTGCTTATAGATAGCGCAGGAAGAACTCGCTGACACTGTGATACATAGAAAAAGGGCTTCAGCATCACAGACTGGAGCCAAGCTGATACAAGGTAATGATAATAGTATTATTTAACATTAGTTCTACACTAACATTTGTTAGTTATGATATACTTGACAGCTATAACTTTCTCCAGCAGTCTTTCAGGCACATTTGGACAAAAGAGTTTCACACAAAGTTGAAAATAAAAAGAGGAGAGAACTGCAGCAGCAGAAACATTCGCTCCAGACAATGCGTTGCTGTTCTGTTCAGGAAAAGGCAACTTTAAGACCTGCTTATTAGCCACATTCAGCTAGAAAAGCTGCCATAGGAAGGTGCTGAAATGTTAATCTTAATTCTTTTAAGAACAGAATTTACAAAACTGAGCGGCTTTGTTCTAGATGCAGTTTAGGTCTGTCACATGAATAAACATCCTTACTTCATTTTGCCGAGCTATGTGCAAAAATCTTGCAAAACTTGCTCCACTGTATTTTACAAAATAATAAAAATGTATTTTACAAAATATTAGAAATTAGATTAAATTGTGAGAGACAATGAACTCTATTTGGGTTAGTGCTCATTGATAGATCAGATAGTGTGTGCAGATTCTTAGAAGACACGGATGAGACTAAGTGGTATCTCTGTATGAATTGCTGAACATCTGATGTTTCTGACATCATAACCTTTTCCTAATTTTGTATTCTTCAGTATATCGTAATTATTTATCAAATTGATCTTCGGAGGTATTAAAGTAGTTTAAACACATTTGTGAAAATAAACCTATGTGGTTACTTAACTATGCTGTGGACTTCCCCCCCCCCAAAGTTCTTCAGTAGTATGGGAACCTGTATTGTTTTGTAAATAACAAATTTCAATGTGATTTATCTGCCCTCAGGTCTAATGCAATTTGGACACCTAAGTCACTTAGGCAGTTTAAAAAATATCTATGGTCATATACTCATAATTTTCTTATATTTTTTCTTCTAGACATGATACTCTAACAGTCATTGCACAGGAAAAATTTAGAACTCCTTTAGAAACTATTTAATCCTAGCAAGGACTCTACTTTTCATTTTTGCAGATAAGGTCTTTGCAGAATACTGACTGACCAAACTGGAATGGTGTGTACTTTTATTCTCCTGCATGGGGAACTGATAAGCTAATTTTTTCCCTTTGCAGTCCACCCTTCCAATTTTCACAAGTACTACAACATTGTCTAGTGATTTGTAGAATACTGAGGACTAGGTTTAGAAAGGGAATGCCTTAGCAGATAGACACCTAGCCTCCAATGAAATCTGAGCCTAGGAATCAGGCCCCCTGTTTTCTGTTTCTTGGTACCAGCATCAAATCAGCATTCTAGTTTATAGAGGTCTCCCTTTTATTTAATGTGCTTCTTTGCAAAACTAATCAATAAGATCCACTTTATGTGAGTGTGTTAAATCATGATGTTTTCAAAAACGTATCATTCTAAGGATGAAAAGCAGAGTCCCTAGGAAGTGTAAAGTATGGTGGTGGTGGTGATGATGAAAGGACATAAGGAGTGTTTGTTAGCCCAGACTGTCAGTGTTAGCTGTATGCACCATTACTGTGGTTTGCAACTACATGATCATTAATCATGTAGAGGGCACAAAAGGTAACCTTTTAATCTTTTATTCTTAAAAAGCACATAAACTTCAAAGAAGGAGAGTCCAGGACCAAGTTCCTCCAGAATCTGGAATGGTGGTGCCTGTCAGACAGGAACTATTTCAAAGGAATGAATGGAAACCTCCTTCAAGAGAGCAACAGCCTATTTTTCAGGTACTGTGCATCCACATTCTCGTAATATTTAATCATCTTCAGAAGGCAAATTCCTGCTCTTAGAAAAGACCCTTTAAAAGGCTTCATTAAGATGTATTAAATTCAGCCTAATGCCTACACTAAGTCAGTGGAGACAGTTAAGCACTCCTGAATCCTCAGAAGAGGTGTTTTAGAAAGTGTAAGTGGGAAACACTGAATTTTGGCTGCTTCAGTATGGTCCTTTGTAACAAAAGGAGTCAGGCATGCTTTGCAAATACACTGATCCTCTTACCTCAACCCTTCTGAGACCCCATTTATGGGCAAAACCACTGGTACCCACTGCCCTTGTCTCAGATGCTATTACAACAAACTGGGATGAAACCCTACAGCAGAAAACCTCAGTTCTCTCTGTCCCTCACTTATTTTCCACCTCCTTCTTTCCTCAGGCTGGATATCAGCTGTATGCTGTTTTCAGCCTCTTACTTGGCATCACTTCATACCTTTATGCTTATCTTCAAGAGCATATAGTACTGTGTTGGATGCTGATGAACACAGGACAAAGCATATTTAGGATCTGGGAGCTCCCAGCAGTAATTGCACATTGCAGTTGCAGTGGATTAACTGATGGTGGAGTGTTGTGGGGTTCCCAGAACTGCAGCCCTCAAGCAGTCACTTGCACTACCTATGGATAATATTGGACCTATGCAGAATATAGGACTTAGTTTTCCTCATAGTTACCTTTGTGCATATCCAATGCAAATCCAGAGATGCTGGTTAAGTTTTCTTACACTGTGCACTGCTGTAATCAAACGCAGAATTTTGTCCACAGTGTTTTTATCTACAATACATGCTCTAATATTAACACTTGGAAAGTTCCCACATTTCTTTCAGCACCCAAATGGAGCAGTTTGCACGGTTGCAGGGATACTTGCATAGTGTCATACTTTGAATGTGTTGCTTCAGGATTCACAGAATCAAGAATGGTTGAGGTTGGAAGGGACCTCTGGACGTCACCTTGTCCACACCCCTGCTCAAGCAGGGTCATCTAGTGCTGGTTGCCCAGGACCATGTCCAGACAGCTTTTGAATATCTCCAAAGATGGAGACTCCACAACCTCTCTGGGCATCCTGTGCCAGTGCTCGGCCCCCCTCACAGTGAAAAGTGTTTCCTGATGTTCAGAGGGACGCCCGCCGTGTTTCAGTTTGTGCCCATGGCCTCTGGTCCTGTCACTGGGCACCACTGGAAAGAGCCTGGCTCCGTCCTCTTTGCACCCGCCCTTCAGGTATCTATATACGTCGATAAGATTCTTCCTGAGCCTCCTCTAGGTTGCTCAGTCCCAGCTCTCTCAGCCTTTCCTCACATGAGAAGTGCTCAAGTTCCTTAATCACCATTGTAGCCTTTCGCTGGACTCTCCCCAGTATGTCCATGTCTCTCTTGTACTGGGGAGCCCAACACTGGACACGGCACTCCAGGTGTGGCCCCACCAGTGCTGAGCAGAGGGGAAGGATCACCTCCCTTGACCTGCTGGGAATACTTTGTCTAATGCAGCCCAGGATACCATTAGCCTTCTTTGCAGCAAAGGCACATTGTTGGCTCGTAGTCAACTTGGTGTCCACCAGGCCCCCCAGGTCCTTTTCTGCCAACCTGCTTTCCAGCTGGGTGAATCACGGCATGTACTGGTGCGCAGTGCAGGACTTTGCACTTTCCCGTGTTGCACTCCATGAAGTTCCTGTCAGCCCATTTCTCCAGCTTGTTGAGGTCCCTCTGGATGGCAGCACAACCCTCTGGTGTATCAGCCACTCCTCCCAGTTTTGTCATCATAGAAGCTTATCAAGTTGGTCAAGCATGACTTAACCCTTGGTGAATCCAAGCTGACTACTCCTGATGATTTTCTTGTCCTTCATGTGCCTGGAAATAGTTTCCAGGATTAGTTGGTCCATCACCTTGCTAGGCATTAAGGTGAGGCTGACCAGCCTATAGTTCTGTGGGTCCTCCTTCCTGATAGGAGTGACATTTCTTTTCCTCCAGTCCTCAGGCACTTCTCCCAATCACCGCTCTGATCATTCAGAGATAATAGAGAATGGCTTTGCAATGACATCTGCCAGCTCCCTGAGTGTTCGTGGATGCATCCTATCAGGCCCCACGTTGGTCCAGTCTGTTTACGTATTCTCTAACCTGATCCATTTCCACCAAGGGTATATTTTCTTTGCTGCAGACTTTTCCCCTAGTTGCAGGGATTGGGATTCCATTCCTGAAGGCTGATCTTGCTAGTAAAGACTGAAGTGAAGATGGTGCTCAGTACCTCAGCCTTTTCCATGGCCTGTGTCAGCAGGGCACCTGCTTCATTGGTCACAGTTCTCAGTCCTTTTACATTTATTACATTACATTTACATTATTTGGCTTGATTTGTTCTTCTTATTGCTTGGAATTGCCATGCTTCTGGATACCACACTGCAAAACTTATTTCAGTGAGGGACAGGATGAACACATTTTGAAGTTACTTCTTCCTTGGGAACATTACTGTCAGTGGAAATTTTTCTTATATAGGTATGAATTTAAATTCTACTGTAGGTAGATGAGCCTGTTTTCAGTGTTTCTAAGAAGGAAAACAGGGAAGAAGAGTTAATGTATTTACCATCTGAGGAAGGGATGCTTAGATGCTTTTTAATTTATGTAAGAAAATAAACCACATTCAGCATTTTTCTTATACACCATATAGTGGTTTTTAGCCTCCGACCTTGGAAAAGTTTGTGAATGTCTTGCCACACTTCTTTTAGATCATGCAGTGGCAGCTAGATGATCACCTTCTCTCCATTGTTCTTATAAGAAATGGAAAAGCCTGTCTTGTCACAAATTAGAAATACAGGGATGTTTCATCACAGTAAGGACTTTGAGAAATGAAAGGCAAGCTCCCACAGGCAGATAATCAAAGAGACGGTGACATGAAGTAGCACAGTGCTCTCCTGAAAGCAGCAGTCAATGTGTATGCTGCCCAAAACTACATCCCAGATTCCCCTTGCTCTCACATGTCAAAATAAGATTCTCCTGGAATGAATTCAGTGCTTTAAAGCTTCAGAACAATGAAGGGACTTGAGGGCAACGATGCTACAGGGTACAAAGCCCCATGCTGATTGACTCGTACAACGGTATGGGCTGCTGCTTAATGACAGGAGCTGATGGAACATGGGAAAAGGAAAAGAAAATGGTAAGGTGACATATGCCCTGAGAAATTAGGAAGTTTCTAGGTTACATGTGAAAGGATTTGGAAAACTTAGAGTAACTATATTGTAGACTATATTACTGTGCAACTCAGACTGGGGAGAAGGACAGGAAGCTGATTCAAACTTGTACTGATACAAGTGAGAACAGGTCAATTAACATATTTTATTATATTTTCAGCCACAGAGCTCCAGATTTAAGATGGCAGAAAGGCCGGAAAGTATTAGAGTACATGGCCATTACGGTCATTACTATGATAAGCTTGACAACTTGCAGAGGAAAGCTAATGCACATTATGACCTTTCTCACATCAGCCAGAGAGTTGAGGAATACTATAAATTAAAAGGACAAGTTGCACCTCCACCCCCACCACCCGACTGGTAAACTTTTCTCACTCTATTAGTAGTGAACTGTCATGCATGTTTTGAGTTATCAGTCTTCCTGAGTAGGTAACACCGGACGTGGCTCATTCAGTAGAATTCCTTCTTTGCTTGGTCTTTGATAATTTTTTTACATAAGTTTATTGCACAACAACATAACTCCTGTTCCTGTCTATCCAGAAGTTCCTTCTGAATGTGTTGTCCTGGTGTTTGAAATTTCATTGTGAAAATGTCTCCCAAATCTCAGCATTTTATTGGGTGAGAAGTAAAACACAGGCTTTTTGTAGACTTTCTGATTATATCAAGGCTAAACATTGTCTTTCCTTCCCACCAGGATGAGAACAATACAAAGACCAAAAGCAGTTCTCCACTTGAGGGAACAGAGTGGGAGGCAGGCTATGAAAATGTTTTTTTCCTGCAGGGCTTATATTTTGGTTTCAGATATAAAGACCCTTTCTCCAGCAGTTTGTTTACTTCAGAGCCTTTTTCTTACAAAATATAAGTACAGCCTTTTTATTACTTTAGACATTGCCAGTCTGTTCATGATTGGCCATTTTAGGTGTGGATGAGCTTTGAAAACCCTGAGAAAGGAAGGTAAAGAATTCTTAATACTGCCTACTTTGGGATCCTTCCTGACTGAATCATTAATTTTCATTCAGTAACGACAATGTTCAGAATATTTCAGTTAAGGATCATCAGGTTTAGAACATCTTGTCTGAGCTGAGTTTCCAGTGCCTTATTTAAGGACAAAGTCAATTCAGTTTGTCTCCCTGGAGGACAAGTGAATTCTGAAGGTAGGAAATTAAATAAATAGAAATCAGGGGACTTAAAAGTGACTGCTGGTATTTTATACCAGAAAAAGAGGTGAGTTTAGAAACCACAAAACTACGTAAATACAAAGATCGGCTGACAGATTTAGGCACAGAGGAGAAAGAAAAGTTGTTGATTATACAACCTCCATTCTGACAATTTTCACTCATTTTGAGGATCTGGAAAAACAACTTTATTTTCATTAACACTTTCATATACCATTTATCAAATAAAAGGTAGAGAAGGACTTTGCTGCACCCTTCAGAAGGCTAATGTAACTGAATCAATAGGAAGGGGAATGCCTGAAGTGGATATGTTTTATTTTTGTTATTTTACCATTGTTCCATATTTATACATATTTTATCCGTATTTATATATTCATGTTGTACAAAGAGAGCTCTGTTTGTCATATGTGACAGAACCTATAGAGAATGATTTGCACAGAAGATAGCAGAGTCTGAAATAAAATGTAGTATATGAACATCACTTTCTTGTTTCAGGCATGCAGAATATCTTCAAAGGCATTTTGAAGCCCAACAGTACAAGATTAAAGTGGAAAAACAGCTGGTAAGTAAACACTGAATCATAGAATAAAATCTGTAAAAAAAAAAAAAAAAGAATGAAATTCCAAAAGATGAACTGTTGTCTTTCTAACAGCAGACTGTAACACTAACAGGTAGAAAGTTCTGCTCTAGTGAATTCGTTGATCTGCTCTGCAATGCTCGTCTTGAGGTTTTATTTTCTAATAAAAAACTGTAGCCATGTAAAATTCTACTATAACTTTCCTCCAAAAATACACACTTGCCCTACTGCACTCTTCAGTGGAATAGGGCGAGTGAATTGAGCGAGCACTGAAGGAAAGGATTCTAAATGAAAATTCCTTTGCTCTGGGATTTATTTGTGCATCCATAGGGACTGCGACCATCCTCTGCTGACACATATCATGACCAAATACAGCAGCAGAATATAAAGGAAGAGCATCTGAAAAAACACCAGCAGGACATGTCTAGAAAGAATGAAATGAAAGAACAGGTAAATGAAATATCTTCCTTAGCTGTAAAGCTGTCTTCTTACATTCCTTGACAGTAGTATTCTTTACATAAGAATTGATTCTTTTCCATTTGACCACTAGGAAAATATAAGCTGTTTTCCTCTGGTTCCATCTTACATAAACTGGTGAAGACTTGCATGAAAGCTGATGTCTGTAATCATTTCAGAAACCATGGCCTTGATTTTGATTTCACTTCTACTGAGATTAGAGGAATTACATCACTGATCAAACTAATATTGGAGGACAACAGATCCTCACAGTTACAAATCAGAGAAAACAGTCATACATACATTATTCATGTATGTATATTCATTGTTCATAAGTCATGCTATGACACTGAGAATGTGATATAGTAGTATGTGATGCATACTACTTCCCTGGTATGTTATAACTTTTGGAGATTATTTTATACAGAAACAATATGCTTTTCTGGTTTTGCTTTTGGGTGACAGAGAAAACAAACTGATACTTCTTACTTACATGAACACATGCAACTGTGTTTAATCTTTCTATCTTTGATTTATAAAAAAAAGCCAGAATAAATATGAATATATTAACTTTACATAATGGTCAGACTTAGGAATAAGAACATACTTGTCATGTACAAGTTCAGAGACTGTTGCTGTTCAGTTCCATAAAATCTGTACTAAATATGCCAAAAAATGAAATTTTACAGACTTGTCCATTTGTAACATGGGGAAATTGGGATAGACTCTCATATAAACAGTAACAGAGACATCCTTAACACAAAAATTATCTTTTGGCCAAATTTGAAGTTTTTGCTCCAAAGCATAGGAATGTTGAAGCATCTCCAAGAAAAGATTACCAGATTTTGTTTGGTTTTGGGAAGCAGGTTGCGATACAATAAATATTATGTAATTTTTTGTCCTCCTAATTTCCAGTCCTCTATTTTTGGATTGCAACCCTAGCATCATTACTCAGACAGTCCTTAGGTTATTCTTGGAATTAGCTCTTTTAGATACAATTCTGCAGAAAAGCTAGCATGAAACAGTGTCATGGTTTTGGCTGGGATAGAGTTAATTTTCTTCCTAGTAGCTGGTACAGTGCTATGTGGATTTAGTGTGTGAATAATGTTGATAACACACTGATGTTTTTTAGTTGTTGCTAGAGTAGTGCTTATCTGAAGTTAAGGATTTTTCAGTTTCCCAGGCTCTGCCAGCAAGCAGGTGTACAAGAAGCTGGGAGGGAGCATGGCCAGGACAGCTGACCCGAACTAGCCAAAGGGATATTCCATACCATAGGACGTCATGGGCAGTATATAAACTGGGGGAGTTGGCCGGGAGGGGCGGATCGCTGCTTCGGCATGGGTCAGCAGGTGGTGAGCAATTGCACTGTGCATCACTTGTGTTTTCTTGGGTTTTATTTCTTTTTGTTATATTCCTTTTCATTACTATTACTATTATTATTGTTATTATTATATTTTCTTACTATTATCATTGCTATTATGTTTTATTTTGTTCTAGTTATTAAACTGTTCTTATCTCAACCCACAAGTTTTACCTTTTTCCGATTCTCCTCCCCATCCCACTGGAAGTGAGGAGGAGTGAGTGAGTGGCTACATGGTGCTTAGTGGCTGGCTGGGGTTAAACCACAACAAACAGTTTGGAAAACTTCAAAAAGGTTGAAGTCTGGAAGAGTTATAACTCCAAAATGTCCTCTAATAGGAAGTATCAAGCAATCTTTAAAACTGGCGGCAAAGGACACTGATCCGTTTTCCTTGATATCCATGGACTATTTTGTTTAGCTAGTGTTATTTCTGTATGTATTTCTAATACATATGTATTCTACCTTACTGTTCTTTAATAGGAGTACCTGAAACAATTGCAGAAAATTCGGGAAGAATACCACAGCGATATGAAAGCATTCAGATTTAGAGCAGGAGTACTCCAGGTAACAAAGCTCAAACATACACACAGTCATATTTCCTTTTTCTTTTTTAAGCTAATACACCTAAATAGAAATTGAAATGAATGTTTTATAAAAATGTTCCCTAGGAGAATAAAAAAATACAAGATAAAACGTATTTTGTGAGGCAAGGGAAAGCTGAGGACCAGTCTGAAACCAAGCATACAGCTGGAACACGAGAAGAATCACTTCAGGTATCAGTACTATCTCCTAGTCTAAACAGAACTTTTCATGCAAGTCCTGCATAGTTTTTGATTCACTCTTTGTGACAAATCTGAAAAATGGTGAAGCTTAAATCTCACCTGATGCTTACACCGTATGTGAAAGTCTCCCTAGGTTCCCTTCATGAATAGCCCGGAAAGTTTCTTTGGCCAAGTCCTGACTTATTTTAGTAATTCTTTTTCATCTGTAAATATTAGGATGTACTTTTATTTAATTTCATTTTGTGGTATGTTTCTTTTCCTTGCTTTCTGAGTGAAGTAAAGAAGCAGCTACTCACAGGGCAAATGTTTATGAGAATTCTGTGCAGAAGATACAGCAATTCATGACAGCCCAGAGTAGCACTGTGTGGGAAGTTAGAATCCAGTTTTATGTGGAGTCCTTACTTAAACAAAAATTTGGGAGAGGTGGGAGGAAGAGGCAGAGCCAAAGCTTTCCAGCTGCAGTACTCCTTCACTTCGTTCTCATCAAACACTACCAAAGCAGCTACTGGAATGGAGTTGCAGAATTGTTCCACTTTTACATTGCAATAATGGCATTGTGAGCACCAGATGAGGTTTCCAGACCACATGGAGTTCTGCATCAAGAAGTCCACTTTTCTTCAAGTGAAATGAATGAAAGCCTCAATTTATGAAAATTAGTCTCAGTGTGCAAATTCCCAGTCTATTCTGAAGGGAGAACAGCCCTGATCTCGCTACTAGGATTCTCCAGTCAGGATTTGCCTCCTGTGGTGTAGGACTTCCCTCACTGTTCAGTAGCAAGGGGCAGACTTCCACATAAACCGGGGACAGACATTGCTCCCTCTTGCAGCTGGAACTTGGGCCAAACCTGCCAATAGTAGTAGGATCCTCTTCAGTGATTTTCATGGACCCTGGATCTGGCTTTTACTAAAGTGAATTCACACATCACTTGATAGAATAGAGTAGGTTATAGACAGCCAGAGCCACGATAGGACAGAAATTATATTCCCAGTGATGTCATGGGAAATGCACGATAACGAAAAAGAAACACTAGATTTTGCACCTGCTTGATGTCACCTTAGTTCATGGGCAGTATCTGCTGAAGAAACTGCATAGGTATTTTAAAAAAGTAAAATCTGTGAATTGTTGTGGTTTCACCTGAGGTTGAGGACATGCCCTAATTGCAGCAGATAACTGAAGGAGCTGCATACAACTGTTTACTTTGCTTTTATCTGACAGGTTCTAACATAGGACATAGGAATATGAAAAGGAGTAATTAAATATTTTTAGGTGTTACCAGAAAGCAAGATACCGTGAAACATGGCTATACTTTCTACAGGCATACGTTTCCATTATAATCTTGATTTTCATCACTTCCAAAGCTTTCCAGAATGAAATCAGCCTGAGTCATCTTGCGTATGATCATCAAAAATAAAAGATGTATTATTTATTTCTTGACACAGTACTGTATCCTGCAAACATAGGTTTTTGAAAAATCAGAGGTTTGTACTTTATGCAAGGTTTTCTACTTTTGTTTTTGCCAGATAAGCCAGAATTATTATGTGTCTTAATATTAGAGTCTAAATAAGGCAACAAATGGAATATTCTTACAGATACATATACAAGGAAGTCAGTGACTACATTTACTACTTAAACAAGGTTTTTTTTACAGGGTATACACATATCCTGGTTCCAAAGAGTGTATTTTAAAGTTGGGGTTATTTTCTCCTTCCAGGACATGGAAGAAAACTTTAAACAAGTCAGACTCCAGGATAGGCAATACCAAAAAATCTTAGAAAAGAAACATAACACAAAGGTATCTGTCCTTATTGTTGTATTTTTTTCCGTTCTTACGTCTGTACATTTCAAATGGTTGTATTACCACCGTAGCTCTGGAAATCAAGTTATTTGAGAGTCAGTTAAGAGTGCTGGTCTACTGTTTGTTAAAAGTTTATATGAGAAGACAGAATCACTAAGAAAATAAATGAGCTTTTCTGATCACTTGAGGGAAACTCCCTTTAGATATTCCCATATAGTAATCAATCCCTACCTACTCATCTTTATATCAAACTGCATTAGTAGTGTATGGGAACTCATGTTTACTCAAAGATTAAGTAAGTGAAGTCAAGTCAGGCTGCTAATTTTTTAACACTTTGTTATAGAACACTATAGTGCTTTTTAAATTGTAGGAGGGGATGGGAATTGAATGAAAGTGCACATATCAGGAAGGTTTCTGACCATAAGATCATTGTGAAGTGGGCTAAAGGTCTTTTGTGAAATATTGCACAGAAGCAGTACAGTATTCAAATTTTAATACTGGCTGAGAACCAGCTGTAAGAACCAACTCTGTGTATTGCAAGGATTTGAATTAAATGATTATCAGACACCTTTCCTTAAAATCAAAAGTGGATGTAATAATTCGAAAATATCCATAAAACTATATTTATTGAAATCTATTTTTGTCCAATTTGTTCAACGCTGATCTTGTTAAATAGAAGAAAAATATTACTAAATAAAAGTTATTTTCAATAGAAGAATAATTTTCAAGTTTGTAGTTCCATAGAAACTGTGAACATTTAATTAAATGGTTTTATTTAATAAAATAAATTAATGAAGTGTGTGAATTTTCTTTAGGGAGGAATAAAGTTTGAAATTAATTTAGATGTATGTGTTCCTGAGGAAGACAGCATTCAAGAAGCAGAGGTATGTTGTAGGTATATTCAAAGCATTTACATTAGTAATCTGAAACCATGACAGTAGCTCCATGATGTAAGGTTTGTTTCCATTACCTCTACCTTTCTTATAATGAAGCTTCCTATTGAGGATCTGTTGACATACTGCATATATCTGACCTTCTTCAAGAGGATAATTGCTTAGAAGAAAATTGGGTGATATCTGGGTGTTGCAGTTTAACCCCAGCCAGCAACTCAGCCCCACGCAGTCACTCGGTCACTCCCCGCCGGTTGGGATGGGGAGAGAATCGGAAGGGTAAAAGCGAGAAAACTCGTGGGTTGAGATAAAGACAGTTTAAGAGGTAAAGCGAAAGCTGCGCACAAGCAAAACAAGGAATTCATTCACCAGTTCTCATGGGCAGGCAGGTGTTCAGCCATCTCCAGGAAAGCGGGGCTCCGTCATGCAGAACGGTGACTTGGGAAGATAAATGCCATCACGTTGAACGTCCACCCCTTCCTCCTTCTTCCCCCAGCTCTATATGCCCCATATCAGCTACTATGAAGAAAATTAACTCTGTCCCAACCAAAATCAGCACACTGGGCCAATCTTTCATATGGTAAAAGATGAAGTGCAGATATTTAAGTTTGTAAATTGGGCTCGAGGGGAAGAACTCCTCTCAAAATTGAGTTAGTCTGCAAATGCCAAATTTGATTTGTAAATTGTTTTAGTACGTTTCTGTTTCTTTTCACTAGTATTGTATCACAAAGCAAGAATAAAATTGTGATGAACCAGCTGTTATTTAGAAAAAGTGGAAGTGAGACTACAGACAACATTATGTGATTTCATTTATTTAAAATGACATTTGCGGCTGATCAACATGTAATAGCTACCTATTACTATTTTTATTAGTGTATTTGATTTTTTTTTTAAATATTTGTAACAGCAACATCGAAAATACAATTTCTTTTGAGTATATAGATCCTTAATTTATGAAGCACTATTTTGTCATTCTGTTGTTTCACATCTCTGCAGACCCCCATGCAGCCTTCTGATAAACCAATCACAATGTGACTTTTGAGCTCTGCTGCTTCACCTTTTGTTACAGTTTTCCTGTGCATACCTGAGAATGTCTGGCAAACACAGTAACATGAGAAGTGATCAGTTATTGTCCCGTATTTGTTTTCTCTTTCCAGAGTAACCTATTGTTTTTTCAGGTACTAGATAAACTCAGTGAGACTTTAAGTTTTGTGGATGGTGAGAATCCTAAGCAGAAATTGGTGGAAGTTTATGAAGATCATACAGACAGAGCTTTGGAAGAACTATCTGGATACCAAACAGGTATTTCTTGGGGAAATGCAATGCTGAGTATTAATCCTGAAAATTACATAGGAGTTAGGTAAATTCAGTAACTCCCGGCAAGTTTATAGCAAATTTATCTGATGAGCTCTCTCTTTCTATCACATAACATTATAATCACACTGAAATCTACTTAGAAAAAATGGAATAACTTTGCTTCCTTTTTCTTCCCCTTAGAGTCCAATGACATAGATAATATGAAAGAAAAGAGAAAACATTGGCAAGCTGGAGCCCCTCAGATGCTACTGAATTTTGTAGCTGATGCTGATGTCACACCTGTATGTCCTACTGTGGCTGAAAATGAACTTGGTAAGAAAGTTTTGGTTTTCAGTGAAAGTAGGGAGCTGCTAAAATTCAGTCAGACTACTTACAGACCTTTGCCAAAACAATTCCATACCAGAACGTTCACAGGATCTGGCAGGCTTTTAATTGCAGGGCTTCATAATAACTGAGGTTATTGTATGTGTTGAACCACAGAATGCAGTCGTTATTTCCCCTCTGTCTAATATTGCAATCATGCTGCGCTGCTCCTGCGTATTAAGAGGGCGGCATTTTATGACTCACTCGGTGGCCTGGGTAACAACGGCTGAAAACACCAGTCTGTGCAACTAATCAGCACCACTTTCTCAGGCCCCAAGCTGATGACAGACAAGAACTAGGGCGGTCTGTTGCCAACGCCATCCCAGAGCGTGGTGGAGTTCTGCTGTCCCACCCCCACACCAGTGTTGCTGGACAGTCCCAAGTGCAGGCTCACGCCGGGCTCGCGGTGGTGGGGCTGCTCCGTTTCAGAAGAGGCTCATCGCTGCGTTTCTTACAGTACCAGTCCGTGTACTGCCAGGCAGCCAGGTACCTCCAGTGACTGCTTGCTGCAAGCAAGGAGCACTTCCAGCATTCCAGCGTGCTCCCAACACCCCAGACACACAGAAATAACCTGGAGAGTTTGCATGGACAGTGAAGACAAAGCAGAATATTATTTATATGCCACTTCTTGTTCATTCTGCCTTAGATAAAAGAGCATAGGGCGCAAAAGAAACAGGAACTTCTTTGAAGCTTTTTCAGCCCCAAGAAGCCAACAAGTTTGCGAGCCAGAACTGCTCCATGAAGCTGCACCTGTCTGTTCCAGGCTTAATAAGCAGTTACTTGAGCATTACAATTGGTGATACAAATTTTTAGTGACAAATAGTCCAAACTATTTTTTCTCTGCAGTATAAATCAGATCAAGTATTTATAAAAAATTCAGGAGTATTCCACAAAGGAAAAAAAAAATACAGCTGACACTGAAACTGATTTGAACTCACTCACGCTGCAGCACACTTTCCTAAAGTAACAGACTGTTTTAAAAATGACATTTACTTTGCATCAAAGTTGTTACCTAAAAAGCCAGAGTATTTTCCACAGAAAGATGCTGTAAATGTAACCAGACATTGTGGTTCTACGCACAATTGCCAATCTACTGAACGTATAATTGGATGACAGGACTTTTAAGCCAGCTAAATTGCACATGCCAAGTTTCAACAATTTTAATGGATCATGAGAAATATCTTTCACTTGCAACTGTGCAGTCAGCACTCTCCTGTTAATTATGCCTTACTTACTTACACATTTTCTCATAGCATAACGAGCTCTCTTAAAACTGCCCCATCCAGAAGGCTAAACCACCTAAATGTACCAGCTAAATTCCATTCCTAAGACAAGCTTTATTGCTTACACATTAAAAAAAAAACAAACCAAACCCAAAATGAAATTCAGACCACTTTTCACTAATGTCAGCAGTTCATAGGGCTAAAGCAAGAGTAAGTCACACAGGGATTCTAGTTGCTGTTGCTTTCATCAGTTACATTTATTAAAATACGGCACTCTCTCAATACCCAGTTCTGCCCTGTTACTCAAGCTGACATTGTGGAGAACAGTGTTACCCAAACTGACAGATTTCTGTTGGATCACGTGCAAAGTTTAGTCTTTATTCTGAAACAACAACTCAGCGTTGTTCTCCCAGCTTCAGGTTAGGGTTGCCCTTCAGTCTTTGAAAGCAAGCCTTTTTAGGTAACCAGAGCTACATCCAAGTAGTAATTTTCACTCTTTCCCAAACAGTACTCCCCTAAGTTTTCCACTGAAAATCCAGATCCCTGTATTGGGAACTTAAACCTACTATCATCATATCACCTTTCTTACTTAACTTTTACAGTCCTTTGGTTATGGTCTGCAAACACACTAGGTTCCACTAAGTAGAAGTTACAAACCACTGACTAAAGCGTGTGATCAAGAATAACAGAAGCATGGTATTTGCGTTGTTGTAATTTGAATAGCAGCAAAAAAATCCAAGCATTTACTTACTTGCTATTACTTTACATACACTTTTATAGTTAGCTAATATACAAATAAATAAATGTTTCTTTCCCTTCCAGAAGGGAGATTAACTATGTTGCCTCCAAAAGAAAACAATGCAGACGATTCAGAAACATACTCTGCTGTTGCTGTTACTGAAGGCAGACTTGAGCCAAGATCAGATGATGAAGACACGTAAGTCAAGCACATGAGAAAACAATGCACACAACTGAACAGTTTCCATGAAATGGCAGGTTGTGTTACCTAAAGCTTTTCTTCTGTTCTTTTAAATTCATAAATGAAGAAAACTCACTTGTTTTACAGAGTCTGCTAATTTAACTTTTAATGCTCTAATTTGTCACATGCCTGTGCTATCATTAAAAATGTTATGCAGAAGTATTAACATGGCTTTGCAGCTCCTGTTCTCTTACTTTATAAACACAGGTAAACAATCTCACGGGGAAAGAAGAAACAGTTCGCATTATGTGTGTCACTTGTATATTCTTTATAAAGTGTTTAAAAAAACCTCAAAGACCTTGAGAGGAGAAAGACTCCTTTGTAGATGTAGCAAAGATATATTTAATTGATATAATTATCTTGTTTCACTTTACAGAAATTTTGAAGATTCTGAAGATGAACTGAGACATGAGCTGGAGGGATGTCTGGAGAAAGTGGCAACTTCTCCAGCAGAGAGAACCATGGAGTCTCCCATCCTTTCAATAAATAAAGGACAAAGAGAGGAGGAAGAGAGTTTACCTCACAAACTACTTGGAAAATCTGATGATGATTTAGAAAATAACTGTGGGTCATTTAGTGCTGACACACATAATGAAAAAGGCAAGCAGGAAGCAAGAGCTACCTAAAACACCAGCACAGTTACTGTTTCAAAGCTTGAAATTTCAGCCACATCAGTAACAAAATTTAAGGCTAGCTAACATTAAATGCCAAGTAAATCAACTGCTTTTCAACAGTGCTAAACGCTCAATTAAAATTAACAGAAGGTTGTTATGATTTTGTTTAAAAGGAAAGAAATCAGGCTACTTTTCAGATGTCTAAATGTTGAAAAATCCTCATCCAGACTGAAATGCACTTTTTATTATTCTAAACTACCTGGGCCATCTCTGACAACACTTGCTTGAGAAATTTCTGGTTGGATACTCTCTTTAACCATTTTTGTATCATGTAAGAAAGTCTTCTCGTCAGTATATTGTATTTGCCTAGATCAGTCGGCTCCTGGTTTTAAGCAGCTCTTCCAGCTTTTCATCTCTCCATACTGCCAATACAGCTTTAGAACCCAGTTGCATTTACACAGTACTGACCCTACAGTGTCACCAGCTGCTCAGCAGTTCTATGTTGTAGCTGTAAAAGGGTTTATTAGCACCATGAGAATTGTGCGTTCCCCAATTCCTAATAAAACATGGGACAGTAGCTTCTTCCAACTGTATTTCTTCATATACAAAAATTTCATATAAGCCAGGTGAAGCTTAGATAGAGGGAAAACCACATTCTGAAGTCTGATTGCAGTAGCTTTTTGCCCTTCTCTTAGTTCACTAAAATATAAAATACTGCTTTGATGGCTCAAAAAAGGACTGTGTGTTTTTCCATTTTTGATATAACAGCAGATGTCCAATTTTTGAACATTTTGTTCGCAGTGTTCTGTTTTATAATAAGCAGTAGTTTAGGGCTTCAGCATTCATATTTGTATAGCATTTAATTATGCCCTCTCATCTAGACCCTTCTATTCCCTAGGAAGAGAAAACCTTTCAATGGAGTAGGGTTGGAAAAATACCATTAAGTTGTCATACTGTGAAGGGGCATGAGGAAATAGCTAATACAAGGATCATAGACAAGTGCAATTATTACACTTATTAAAAAGCAAGTTAGCGAAACCACCATATGATTAACCTAAAGGAATCACTGTAGGTAATGAAATCTCCAGAACCACAATTAAAATCCCACATAATAGAATTTTGCCACACAATGGGGAAGAGCAAATTGAAAAGGTGCTACAGATTCTGGAAAAAAATCTTCTGGGTACAAAAGCTATCAAACAGAAGTGCTGACTGCAGGTAGAGAGTCATGAAATGGGTGGAGACTGAAAGTATTCAATAAATAAAAGAACATCCAGATGTAGTTCTGTTACCAAGGAAATACGTTGGTTCTGTGAATCCAGAGGGTTTTGCAGTGCACTGTACTGTCATGTAGTCAACAAAGAAAATTTTCAGGAGCGTTTTTTTTCCCAGTAAAAAAATGCCCATTACATAAAGCAGATACCCTGACAGAAAGAAATAAAATCTCTTTATTGAATGGGACCAAGGGATCATAGATTAGATATATTTACAGGTGACCCATAGTCAAATATAAAAAGTTAATTTTATTCATATACATTTTTATTAATATACTTTTATTTAAATAATGGCTCCACAGATAACAGGAATGTCTCTTCAAAATGCTGGTCAGAAAACCTATGCACAGAGCGACGAGCATTTTCCCTGATCTCTAACCTTTTTTCAGGAGACAAAGAGAGGATATAAGCCATCGTCTCAGCATAATTGTCCTCGTTTTCTGCCAGGAAGCCTGTCGTATGTCCTTCGTAGGGTACCACAATATCTAATTTGGGGCCTCCAGAACTGTGAGCCAGGATAACTGTGCCAGCTGCCATACATTCAACTACTCCTGTAAAAGACACAAAACATGCTGGTGTGAATTGCACATCATGTACTTTGGCTTTCCATAAGTCACTGGAAAGTTAAAACCACAGTAAAATTCACCCCAAATTATAAGCTACTATAGCCTGCCGTTCTAGATCAGCTTGAAAAATACAGAGTAAGTGGTCTCATAAGAAAAACAAATTTAAGCTTTTCAGTCCTAGGGACTGAAATGATAGTGTCTCTTAAACACATAAAATTGAAATTAGAAATCAGATATAATTGGTTAAGTTGTGGTTCTTGAAACATATTTTATTTACCTGAGATAGATTGTATCACCAGTATATCTGGTGGGGAAAAAAGCTAGATACTGAAATAAATGTTAAGATAAACATGGAAGGTGGCTCTTTGACAGAACACTGCATAGTTCTGTTCTGCTCTGTAACAGAACACTGCAACACTGGTTTTATGGTGTGGTGGCAGCTGCAAAAAATAATTAAAAATTAGAGCTGAACATAACTGTATTCATTTTCTCATCCACACTGAAGATTTTTAACATTTAGAAAGATACTGAGAGAAAAGCTGACTGTGCACGTTTCAATCGGATGATATTCAGAAGTTCGGCATTTTGTAGATTAACAAATCTTTATAGCTTTTGACAACTCAGCAAGACAAACTAGTAAAAATTGTTATCACTACATCTGCATTTTTGATGGAAGAAGTTTTAATGAAATGGGAATCTGATAGTAAGCTTTCCTCAGCCAAAAGCAGTGGGACAGGAATAGCACATAATGTATACATCAACTTCAGTTCTCCTCCATAGTTCTGGAACAGACCTTAGAAATCACTTTAATTGCTGATTCTTCCAGTTCTGATTTCATTTTTTAAAAGTTCCCCTTAGCTCAAAAATTGCCAACTATAAATAATGCTCCAAAGTTTTGGTACATGTTTTTTTACAGGTAAAAAGCCATTGGAGATGAAGTTGAAATCATGCTGAAATTCAAAATCACAGTGTGATTGTATCACTTTTTTTTTTTAAATTTACTTAACTAAACTGTTTTGTGGTGGGGGGAAATATGAGAAACCATTACTTCCACTTTGTGGCAGTTGCTTCGGGGAGACACTTCAGAGTCACATTATAGCCAAGTATGGCAACCGTTCTGCTTGGCTGCTGACTTACCCTGCTGTAGATTCACAGCAGATGGGCAACCTCGCGTTCCCTTTCAAGGTCAGGACTCGACTCACCCCAATAAACTGAGCCCAATACCTTAATACTGTACAACAGCACATTGCAAACCAGGTGCCAGCTCCTCTTTGGCACTCTGCTCCACGCTACAGCGACTGACTTAGGGACTTAAATGCCTTAGCGCAGGTGCCCAGTGCAATGAGATGACTGAGGGAGGTACCTGGTGGCATCGACACGGGGCTTACAAATAAGAGACGGGATCTGTGGGAAACGCGCACCTCTGAAACAGCAGCTAGAGCCTCGTGACATGTACTAGACATTCCAAAGGGCAGCTGAGGCAGCTGAAACACAATCAAAATCTCTATGCATGGATGTCTGCACGTGAACTGTGTCCAAGCCCCACCCCTGCAGCCAGTGGAGCCCCCGGGGCACGGTCCAAGGTGCTTCAACAGACACACCCGCTGCCCGTTGAGGCCCCGTTGGGTAGGGGAGGCACCAGTGCAAGGCCAGCAAACCCCACGCGGGACCTTAGGGCGACCCACGATCTCGCAGAGCAGTAGCTGGAGGTCAGGCAGGACATCCTGGGCAGCACAGGCGGCACCAGCTGCCTGTTTGGTGACCAGCAGACACCCATAGTTAACGGCCTACAAGGCCTACGGCGGTTCCGCTTGCATTGCAGTTGCACCTAGCGCCTAGTCACCCGAATTGGTGCTGGAGGCTCTACCTCAGCTAGATTGCCCCTGAGGAGAACAGGAGTTGGACACCCGCTCGGCACGCAGACACCGACACCCAGCAGCCCTCGTTGCGAACTGAAGCCCTCCCCAACGGTGTTCCCAGCTGGGACAAGTGGCTGAACGCTGAGGAGATACTGACCGATCCCGAAGTGCTCATTCCACATCGTATGCAGGCCGATGGTGGCCTCAGCCAGGTGTCTCTTTAGCTCCTCAAAGGGAATGTTTATTCTGAACATCACATTGTTACTAACTCCCAGCTCTTCACAAAGACGTTTCAGGTTATTTACACGCTCTTCATCTTGCTGGTTACGACAGCCTCCAATTAGGATAAGCTTCAGTGGTGGCTGCTGCCCCAGTCTCTTCTCTTTCAGCAATTTGGCAAAGGCTCTGATTTGCAAAGGATGATCTTTTTCAGGCCTGAACTGGCTGACGGAAACAATGGAATATTCCCTGGTGCTCTTTTCCTCTTCCAGTGGGATATCCAGGAAGGTCTGAACATCGCACGGGGGATACACAATGCTAGTGCAAGCCCCAGCTCTCCAGAGGGAAAGGATGTGATTTAGCGTCCAAGAAGAATTAACCATAATCACGTCACTGCAGGAACCAACCAATCCGTACATGAAAGCAAAGAAGTAGTAGTAGGCAAGTTTAAATTTGCTGAAAAGAGGACTGTTTGTAATGAAGGCTGCATTGTTAAACCTGGTATCCTGATTCCTAACAACAGAAAGCATATCGGTGCTGATAGTGGGATAATGGACGTAGCATCCAACGCGACAGCCTCCTAAATATTTAAAAAGGGGAAGCGTGAAGGCGTAACCCATTGAGTCAATATAAATATCAGGAACACACTTTAGAAGAGCTTCCCAGCCAAGAAACACTGATCCTAAACTTTGTCCCAGCAAAGTGAAGTGAGGGTAAAGAGAAGCTTCCACAAGGTAGCGTTTTTCTAGAAATACAAACTTCACAGGATGAGTTAATTTAATATTGAATCTTCTGAAAGCACCTTCTACTATTTCTTCTCCCGTGGCACCTCTATCACCAGTGTAAACAACGCAAGTTACATTTCTGTACCTGCAAGAGTAAAGAGAAGGAATTTCATACATTCTTCTCTTCAATTTTTTTAACGTGAAACTAAAATACCATCCATTCAAAATTACTCAAAAGGTATATGAGAACAAATGCCTGGCCTAGCTCTGAGACGATTTCAACTAAACTATACTTTTCATTATACTTTCACAGTTTCTTCTGATCTGCAGAAAAACATATGGCCGAGGACTTGGGGAATATTTTTTTTT